CGCGACCCCAACCAATGCCGTCGGTGGGACATCCATCCTCACATCCCGACTGGATGCACCTCACTGGTCACGACTTCTCACTAGAACTCCAGGAAACTCCCATCCTGTAGCAAGTCACTAGCAAGCATCAGATTAGTTTTCTATAGTTTGGTTTGTAAGGATTAGATTTGTTTTTACGAGTTCATCACGGATTGATATCATTTGGAGAAGCATTGAAAACCAACCACAGGGAGTACTGGACAGCTGTTTCATCCTAGTGATATCAATCCGTGATCAACTCGTAAAAACAAATCTAATCCTTACAAAACAATCGCTAATGATTAAATATCTAGTGTATTCAACTTTCGATCCATTCCACCATAGATAAGAATAGAGTGGCTTTATTGCATATCCCCACTAAAAACTGTAGCGTCGTATTTCGTTACTTTCTTCTTTTCTTATTTCTTCACCTTCCCAGTGCTGGAACATAGGGTGACTTCAAGCTAAAGGCTTCAAGTTTCTGTAGCAGTGGTGATTATTTTTACAGGATGGGGTTGCTACTAGCCTCACGCCCAACCTTTCCTCTTTACCAGCTTTATTTCTGGCTTAGCGAGGTAAAGGAGTGCCTCGTCGGTGGCCGGGAATCGAACCCCGGACCACATGAGCATGGTCGGTGAGCGTCCTAACCGCTGTGCTACCGACGCACCGACGTTGCTATGGCGGTTTAATGACAAGTTGTTTCTTTTTTGGTATGCTTTTTAAATGAAATTTTATATTTTAAAAAAAATACTTTTTCTGGCGTACATATTATCGGTAGCATTATATCCTTGAACTACGCTGTATTTCCTGCACTTTTATCGGAAAATGTTGCTCCATACTGATATCTGCTCAATGTTATGTTAATGAATGTTCATGGAAGTATACTGGTATATTTTGGCGTATTTATTGAAACGCCCTTAATACTCGCTGGATCAAAACAGATGGCGTCACTTCAAAAAAAGGGGGTTATGCTGTTATAATCGCCTGCTAGAACACTCTACTTTGCAAAAAAAAAAACAAGGAAAACTGAATGGTTTTCAAATATTGATTTTCAGGGATTTGATTGATTTCAAGATTGGAGAACCAGTGAAATTCAGGGAGTGCTTAACAACTGCTTTGTCCTGCTTTGAGACGTTTCAGCAGTACACACCCATGACACAACCAGATATCGAACCCAGCAACTTCAGACTATTAAAGACAAGCATGCTGACCACTCAACCACTGGAATAGACGGAATCCAATTCTACTTCTGACAATTCACGACTAACTACAGAATGCAGTTGCCTGCAGTCCTAATGAGAAGTCGTCATGTAGTGGGGTCGGTCCACCAAAGCGGATATGCGGACAAATACTCTCCAATGATTTAGCTGACGGTTGCACTAGATGTGCGTCGGTAGCACAGTGGTTAGGACTCTCGCCGACCATGCACATGGTCCGGGGTTCGATCCCCTGCCGGCGCACACCCGATATCTATGGTCGGCCTGCAAAATTTGGGCTACCGATATCCACGCTGAAAATGCCATACTTGTACTGAAAATACGGTGTGGCATCAAGCTGTAATCAAAAAATTAAAAAAATTAAATTGATGTGTCACGAAGTGTGGCAGGCCATCAGACTCCTTCCCAGTTACCGAATGGCATACGAGCTCGCTTCGTAACCTAATGACCATGATTTCGACTCTTGTTTGGACCATGTATAAATACTTCTGAAAAGTCTAAGTAACCTCTGGTTTTCAATGGTTCTTTATCTGAAGGCAGTTCGTGATCAACTTGAAAAACGAAATAGCTTAACTGCAAGGTTTTCGATTTAGGGATTGACTGACTTCACCGAAGTCAATGACGTAAAAAGCGTGTAACCTGAGTTCAATGCCTCCAAATGATTAACGCTCGACGTCTAATCCTAAAAGTACAGTGTACAGCACTGTTTTATCACAATACAGTAAGTACTAGTGGCGCAGAATCCAAATCATATTTCGCTACAATTAGTAGTGATTAAATGGCTATTATACTCAATCTTTATTCATTGCATCACAGGCCAGAGTGAAACTGAATGGTTTTGTTACGACAGAAGACAAGGGCCAGGCAACAGAGCGTTTATTGAGAAAATCGACAGATATTTGTAGATTTTTATGTACATTATTATTAGCGTCATTGTTAGCAGAGAAGCAACGTCTTCTGATTGGTTGTTTTCTCGCCGAATGTTATTATGTACTGATTCTGACTATTTCTCAGAAAGTTAAGCCATATATCTGCGAATCGTATTTGCACTAGTTAAGTCTGCTGTGATTGGTTGTTAAGTTCCTTAAGGTTAAGCTTTGTTATTAATTTTTTCTCATGACCCCCGATTCGGGACGTAAACATTGAAGCAAATTGCTGTCTACAATTTTTAGCTTGCACACAGCTTTCACCACAGTTTGACTGTTACCTGATATTCTGTTAGTGGGTAGGGTGACTAGCAGTGAAGTTCACTGGGATGCGTATTTCGTCTTACTTCTGACTACTCTTCAGTCAGCTGGATATACCTGCACAATCCCCAGTGAGTGGTGTGATGGTGTTCTCACTGAGCAGATCCGGACCCAACACCTATAGGCTCAAGCATCAAAATATTGTCTTCTAAGCCAATTGGGTTATCGCATCCTGCGTCTCCCTGCTAGTCACCGTCCACCAAATAGTATCATGATATTTCCTCAAAATATCGTCAAGGCATAAGCTTTGGAAGCCAATAATGTCAACAAATGTAGAACATTTCAGTCTAATCAGTCATAGGGAATAATAAAAAAAGTTGCAGCGAAGTCACCGTCAGCTAGGCTGTACATTCGTGTATTTATAATAAATGGGTGAGAAAGTTCCAGAATAATTTCAGGTTAAGGGTCAAATTAATAAAATTACAATTAGAAATTAAGATGCCATAATAAACAGGGTAGGGGACGGATAAAACTCAAACAAAGTAGCATCATAATTATTGAGAAGATTGACATATCGTGCAATTAGGGGTTAGAAATGTGGAAATAACAAAAATAGACAGGATGTTTGGATAAAAAATCTAGTGGAATCATAACCAATGCGACGAATAATTGTCTATGCAGTTAGGGATTAAATATGTAGAAATGGTAAAATGACAAATTAGACAGAAAGTTCGGATATGAAAATATGGTGGTGTAAATAGAGATTAAGAAAAACTTAAACTTTCTACAAAAAATTGAGGATCATTCGAACCTAGATGGCCAAGGTAAGGACAATGTCTGAACTAGCTTCTTTTAGACACATAAATTAGGCTTCTTAATGTGGATCCCAACAGCCAGCCTCAGCAATATGTAGTAGACGAACTCTTAAGGCAAAGTTAAGATTTGTTGGCATGCGATAAATGACTTTGAAAGCTGCCTCATCGACATCAATCTTGTGTTCTGTATCTACAAGATGAGATAGAATAGCGCTATGTGAATAGATTTTGTTTGTCCTTTACTTAACCAACCACTATGCAGGATGATGTTCGGAAATCCGACGAGAAACACGCCTAATTGTTGTGCGGCCTATCCTAACTGACTCCACTTTATTTTTTTTATTCTTCAGTATTTGAAACGCAAAAAAAAAAACAACGAATCAAAAATTCAACGAAGTATGTTTTAAACGACAAGAGGAACTTCTGTTGTTTTTTTTTACAATCATCACTAAAGACTACTTACTACTACTACTACCGGCGACTACGAAAAAGTATGGATCACTCCGATGATGTAGTGATACCATCAAGCATTATTTTCGATAAAAATGTACACCACCAAGCTTTATATAAGAATTATATCTTTGTATTTATGATTGTCGGCTTGATAACCCTAATCCCGCTAATAATTATCAGCATTATTGTATTGTTGAAGGGTAAAATGTCTAAACTGTGTCGATTATTACTACTCTCTACATGTCTAACACTTGGATCTATCGTCAGCGGCTTGGCTTTCATCCATTATACACTAGGACCAATCGATTTGATTTTAGCTAAAGGTGATCAAGTATTGATGGGTGAACCGACAAACACCTTTCTCATGAATCTACACGAATTACGTTCATTCACATGTAGCCATTTGGAGATACAATCGAGTAAGTTACGAGTGCGTGTTTGGGCTACACCTATATCACCGCATTACGGTGCACAACAAAACTACAGTCTAGTTCTACGCAATTGGAGCCTGCCAACAATGGCTAGTCTTCGACTGCAGGCCGGTGATTCTATGCATGTACATAATTTTTCACAATCTACACAAATTATCCTCCTCAAGGGTGAAGATTCTTTGAATCGATGGATTCAAAGTGGAGCGTATAAAAAAGGCTATGAAAAGTGTTGTTCATGGTATAGACTACAAACAAATTCAGACGGTAGACACTATGCTTCAATTGAACACAATGATATATACACCATGATACTACGTCCACAATATTCAACTCCACCAACTAGTAATGATAACAAACAGAAATTACAAGCCAAATCATCCACTGTCACCGGATATATTGATCTCTCGCGTACACGTTGGTCGCCTAATCCCTGTGATCCAATCATATGTGATGGCGGGACAACAACTCTGTGTAAAATAACATCATCTCCCAAAAGTTACATTATCGACTATGCTGTAGAGACGTTGACAGCACCGGAGTATGATTATGCCAGCGTACGCATAATATGCTATCCACGTCATTGGATATTAGGACTAATGTTCAGTTTACCGTCCATATTTATCATAAGCCTTATTCTTATTATTCACCAATGCATAAAAAAGCAACGCAGGCAGTTGAAATTCTCTGATACAAGTATACACAGGGGGCCGTTTACAGATTTAAATATTAAACAAATTGAAGGCAAGTATACAACAGCATCGAATGAAAATCATCAACCCCATCATTCTCATCCTCATCATAATGCTGCATTTGAATTCGACCTTGTATAATTAATGGTGATCACACATTTTTTTACAATAAAACCAAACTTTCACTTACTTTATCAAGTGGATTTATGCTACAAGTTGACTGTGCCACTGTTGACGTCGGTGTTGTCGCTGTTGGCGTCTTCAAACTTTTATTTCCATAATGTATTGCTTCAATAACTGACATCTGTAATTCATTGGCATATTTCGCTAGTTTTTCATCTAACAGATCGCATAGTTTTGATCCAAAACCTTCAAGAATTTTACATTCTTTTCCACTTAACAGTAATAATGGGTACTTTTTCAATGACGAAAATGCCTAAACAACAAAAAAAGGGAAAGAAAAGAAGCAAAAATAATGCTAAGCTTATGGAGAACAAAAGTTAACGCTTACTTTTCTATAAGCATAGTAGGATTTAGCATCTTTAACAAATGCCTTTTCCATTGCCTCTTTTATCCAACTTTGAAATAAAAGATTTGGTCCTTCATCCGGTTTCACCTTTTTTCTGTGATAATATCAAAGAAAGAAAGAAAAACAGTGAGAGATAGAAATTATTGAACATTGAATGATATGATAACCTGTCGGTTCAAAAGAAGCGGACTATTTTAAAAGTATAAAACCTACTACTTATGAGTAGGACAATTATTCAAGCTAAAAAAGTGCAACAAACTATTGGAATGACTGAAGTGCATAGATTTAAATTAGGGCGAGAGAGGAAAGAAATTGAATTCAGAACAGTTCATATAAACGATAAGGATGAAATTAGAGAGAGCATTTACTAGAGGGATAAGAAATCAATAGACAAGCACACTGGGAATAAAAATGCTTCAACAATTATTATTAGTCAAGGACAGGAAGCTAACTGCAACTGCAACGGCAGAAGAGAAGAGACTTGGTGATGGAATGTTTGTTTGGAATGTGATATCTCTATATAGGGAAACTATGTACATCACCTTATACGAAGATCGTCATTTGCACATATCTGTGCTGTGTTATGTCTGCCCTTCATATTGCATTTCTTTGTCCTCTTTGAGTGTCTCCCATGTTTTGCCTGAATACTGGTTGATTTCCTCTCTCTCTCTGTTTGACGTCAAATCGATCAGTCTGCTAATTGATATTTTGTGCCAACGGACATCTACTTATATACTACTGATAAAACTTGGCAGTAGCATACGCCACACAACCACATTATTAACAATATATTACCTTCAGACTGACAAACTCTTGTTTCCGCATCCATTAGGTTCCAAGTGGAACATAGGGATTCAACAGTACATCTTCCACTTTGTCCTATTCTCTGCAGTCCTGTCTAGCTGTCCCTACTATTGCTCATATTCTCTGATCTCCTCCTCACACAATCTCCTGCATATTACCCTAAGACGCTCCACTCATCGTTTAACAAATTTGGGTTTACTAGCTGGTCCTGAGACCGCAAAAAGAGAGAAGGCTGAGCGTGGGTTCAGAGACCCTATCTCAGAAAATCAACCCAACTGCTACAGAGACTTCAATGCACAAGGGGAAATATGAAAAAGTATTCCACCATAGGATAATCTCGTTTGATAATAGGCACACACTGATAGAGTAAGCATTATTTACTGACGATGTTTTGAGGACTGACTGGTTTCGATGTAGAACTTTACACCGAAGTGCAGCAGTTCAAGTCGCCAAACCCCATCCATGTAGCACACAAAGCAAGAGAAGAAAGTAAAAAGAAATGCAAAATAGGGACAGTAAACAAAGATATAAGGCAAAAAGAATAGTAATATCGAAGAACAATATAGTTTTATTGGGTATCATAAGTCACAAGGAGTGGGTGCATCTGTCCCAGCCTTTTAGAACGAGGATTTTGAGCCATATCACCAATTGTCTACAGTTCTCATTGGTTTTTACCACCCTGAAGACCCCAACTAGAAAGTCTACACCTTTCTACATGGTTTAAAGGCATAGGCTTCCTGGTTTTGTGGGAGATTTATTGCTGCTTATAATCTTATCAAGGCACTCATATAACTTTTAAATTTCGTTGATATAATCCCATTGGTAGTAACATTTTCCATATCTCCTGTATCATCGTTGCGTCATTCTTATTGTACGTGTTCGGTGTGTAGATTCAATGATCAACCAATCTCACATACCCACAAACACACGTAAAGATGTTACTTTTTAGAACTGTAGTTTTGTTTCAACCTATTGAGTGATTGTATATGAATACATGCATGGCCATTGCTGAGTTTCCCTCTACACTATTTATCCTTGTAGAATCAACTGCATTCTACAATTAGCTCAATTCTTATATTCGGATAACAAGAAAAACCCTTGATCTATGATTTATCTACGTTACTGCTACTATGAGATTTCAGGAGAAAAGTTCCGCTGTTTCCTATTCTATCCTTTTAAAGTAGGAAATAGTCTTTAATTTCAAGATAAAATTTGTAATAAAAAAAATTCCGTAGGACAATGACATTGAACTAAGGCTCAAATATTTTTTGTAAATTCCCTTTAATTTACGCAGTTTACTCACAGAGAAATTATCAGTAGAAAATAGTAGACATGGAGTTTGTGAAAGACGGAGATTTCACATCACTATAACTAGAAAAGTCCATGAAGGAAAAATTAAATGAACTACAGAATTTTTTTCCCTCAAATGTTACTTTACTTTGACCCAGAGTAAGGTGGTATGAGTAAGGGAGAGTGATGCTCAGGAAGGCTTCGTGTGCTTTTGGAAGTGTGTGGGCGGTTGTAACCACCCGGCTGCCCACACCGTGGAAGTTGACTGATTCTTCGGGAACCTGAAACAGAAAGTGTTACGTGACCGCAGAGCCCAGGGGACAACTGCTTGAGGCCGGTCACACGCGGCCTGTTTTTGTTCGATCTTTTTGTTTGGTGTGTCTCAGTAGCATATTTATCACTTCTGCCCTGTGACACGGCAGCAGAAAGCGCGGTCGTTGTTAATTCGGGCCCCGACCGATCCGTCATGATATTTTGTGAATTTGTTTGAATCATAGTATTGGATTGGGTAGCTGCTTTTCGTCTAACCGCTATCCAAACAACCTTTCTGGCATGGTAGGACCTCAAGCGACATAAGTCTCAGCCAGTATAGCTTGTGGGGTCATTGTGGTGTTCAAGCCCGACCACCACGTCAAGGTAGCAGCTTTTGGTCGAGACTTTGACCCAGAAACAGAAGTTTTACGATCAGAATTCAGCCGAGAGGATTAATGAAAAGTAAATCAAAAAGCACAAAAATATTTTCCTTGCTCATTTAAAGCTACTACGGCAAATTAATTTTCAGAAAATCGTCTGTTCGGCAATAAAGTAGACTATGTATATACATGCTGCACACACCTGAGCTCACAATTATTATTAAGACGCAAACTTGGTATATGATGGGAACCAAGAGATACTCCACACAAAATCTCAGAGTTTGTGTGTGGGTTGTGACACTGCCTGGGTATCCAGGCCAAAGTAGATCGCTGTCTTAAGCGGTCTTCCCCTAAGCCTATAGCTTTGAAGAAGTCTGATCCACAAAGCAGTGGAGCAGTCGTTAACATCTGTATTCCCATGATTTCTCGTGATCGAAAAAGGTACATATTCCAATTGATCCTTTACGAATCTGAAGCTAATGTACATCACAGATATAAAATCAGGGCTTTGCAGCTCTTCTAGGTAGACCTTAATGTCCACCAGTTCAGCTGTAAGAGCCAGACGTTTGTGTTCGTGTCTTCATTTACGCACATTTATTTGATACAGAAGATATACTAATACGGTATTAATAACAGGGTAACATCTGGAGTACCAGTCAGTGTCTATCATCCTACACAGAATTTCACTGTAATATAGGCCTCCATATTCTACTCTTTGACTAGGTCTCTAACCCTTATTGCGTAATATATACAGATTACATAGAGCTGTAGTCAGTTAGTGTAGAAATCTACATCGCGTATCAACTTGATAACCTTGAATCTTCTTCTTACCAGCTCAACGTGGTATTAAAAGCTAAAACAAACAATGAATGGGCTAGGAAAAGTACTTCTTGACAATCTTAGTGTTGGTTAAACTGTAATAGCTCATTTAATAGAAAGAAACAGAGTGCTATATTTATGGTTAGAAATTCTCTCTAATTTGTGAAACTGAAAAGAAAAATATATGAATACATCGCTTTGAATAAGTTTTTCAGAACTGTCAACCAGCATCTGCGCTTATCCATTCTTTTGACTACTCCGAGTACACAGATTGAATCAAAATACCTTTGACCGACATTCGGTTAATTCATGGATATTTAGCATCTTTTTGGGGTACTAACGCTTAGATGGACTTGAAGAGAGTACCGTGTTATAGTGGCTTAAAAAGTGTAACATATTCCGAAAATTATTATAAGTACACAATCTTACTAAACGACTTTTTTCGCCTTGTGGCATAGTCCAACACTGTTCACTCTTTGGCCACACTACATAATAGAAACCTTTCGCGGAAAAAAATTGTTGAAAAGTCCTAACTTTTCGTATCATTCATGTTTCAAGTCCTTCTACAAGTTGCTCGCTAACTACTTTTTTATAGGTCGCTAAATAATTCGAAACTTTGAAGAGCAGCATCGGTTAGCTAGTGTATTAGCTGAGATTTTTGTTGCCAACCAGCCTAGAAGCATTAACTTAACTGATGAAGTACACCAAATGATTGACGCACTTGTTTAATTCACCTAACCTGGGGATCTATACACGATAATCGTGTATCAGCATTTTCCATATAGCAGTTAACCGGATAGAAATCATTAAAAATCTCCCGAGTATTCACAAATCCCAGTACTATGTTAGGATATCTATCAAAGAAACTATCATATATATGGCGTAAGCTGACGAGAAGATACCAAGACAGAGGGTTAATTTCTGAAAGGTTTACAATAAGCACATTCACTTCCACTTGCATATTTAAAATAAATTTTAATAGAGACTAAAGACCCTGTTGTCTGTATTCACTTTTTAAGAAAACAACTTCCTTAATTCCTTGCATAAATAAAGGCATATTAAGTTAAAACTACCTAAAACGCATTATTCTCGTTTACTTCGGTCGGTCGGTTTTCGACATAGAACTTTGCACATATGTGCGGCAGTTCAAGTCGCCACACTCTCGTTTACTTAAGCATTTAAAACCAACTTTAAGCAATAATACAGTACCTAAGTCATAAGTAAAATAGGATAATGGGTGATCAAATCAAAACATGGTATCCACCCATGAAGTCTTTGACTGTTAGCTTGAAACATACAGGGAGGCGTAAACTGCCTGGTTCGGGTACTATAGACTCCAAGAACCAATGACTGAAGCAGGCTGATGTTATGGGTTAAAATCGTTCTTAATGGTGAAAAAGCATTCACTCTATGTAATCTCCCAGATTCATCAACTCCCTAAGATTAGCCATGTAATCATTTTTTCCCTACATTACTGCTCACTATAGTTCCTTCGTGTGCTACATGGAGTGTGACAACTTGAACTGCTGCACGGCTGCGCAGTTCTACGCTGTAAACTCAGTTTTTCAGTCATTAGCAGCCGCTTAAGGAAAGCATTTCCTATATTCCCCTAGTAACTACACTTAATTAAATTCTTTCCGAATATTTTACGTTGGTTAACTTCAGATAAGTGTTTGCTTTTGTCCGTCATATGTAAAAAGAATTAACTATTAATTAGTGTATACAATTTGATAATATACTTCGATGAAATAAAGTCTAATTTACAGGCTTTGGAAATAAATAAGTTAACTCTTCTTGAGAAAATTCCCACCTTATGTTGTTGCCTTTTGGTGATGGAGTCGTGCAGAGACTATACTAAGCTAGTGAATGGACAAAATATGAGGATTGGAGTTAACATTATTATCAAAACCCAATAAGTTTGAAGAGCATATCACTAGAGTGTAGCAAACGTTTAAGACACCAAAGCAATGTAGACTGAATTGTGCGAACAAGTAAAAGAAGTTAACTAGAAAAAACGGAACACATCGCTCAACGTGCGTTTTAAAGCAGAGTGAAAGAGAACCTAAGACGATACATTTTGAATTCAAATCTTGCCAGATGCTTGCTTTTTTTTCTCTACACTGATTTGCATATGAATGTCACCTTATGAAACCTCCTGGCAAACATCTCAAATAAAAACTTTAAACAACACAATTGTTTTGTTAGCTAGATTAACGTTCTGTTTACATAAAATGAGTCCCTCAGAAAGTCACAGAGTTAATCCTCGGTTTCACTTACTAAGATCAGACGATGAGATGTGTACAAATACTCGTATGGCCCAACTTCGTTAAAGACAAGGACGTTTCGATATTGCAAGTGTATGACGCAACTTGTCTTAGATGAATCACCAAATCATTATTTTCGTTTAGTGAAGTAAATTTTACGATGTTATTCAATTAAAAACGGAGATTTAGATTATACTATTGACTGAAGGGAAGATTATGAAAACGTCAATGTATAAATTAACGGTATCAATACTTATACCTTAACCGCCTTAGAAATAATGAAGCGTACCTCATTAATCCACTCATTATAATGTTTTCAACGGGGCAAAACCACGTCTTTAACTCAAAGAACTATCATCCAACAGTGTGTATCTCATGTATTTGAAAGAACGGGTGACCTTCTCTTCAACAAAGTCCAAGGGCAACCTTGTATTCAATATCCAATATCCAATATCCTGATTACGAGCTAGTATAAACCAGTGATTTCTTTGAGCTCGCTTCTTGATTTTAAGGTAGAGGTTCCAGATCTTCGGTGAACTTATGCGTAGTAAATCCCGCCACTCGACTGCTTTAGCTCTGGTAGACTCCAGGAGGAGTGATGCGAGGATTGGTCAAGATTGTGGTTTGTAGTGTGCAGTATGTTAGGACTCAGCTGCTGCCGTGAATGGAGTTTGACCTATCACCCGTTGGTCATTCGGTATAGTCATAAAAGTAGAGTAATAATAATAATAATGATAATGATAATAATAGGTTGTAGTGTAGATAATATAGGTTGAGATAAGTGAAATAATAAAGAAAGAAAGAAAAGATAGAGTAGTCGGTACAGTGGGAGAAGACAGGACGGGTCGTGGGGATTTAGCTTGTGTGCTTATCCATTGACAATGTGGTTTCAAATTTTAAGAGGGTAAGCCATTGAGACACAAACCATGCATTTCTGCATGATTGTCCAGCTTCCGCTTAAAAATCTCCACAGATGGAGCTGTAGTTACGGCCGCCGGTAAAGCGTTCCAGAGACGGCAAACTCGAAGCGAGAAGAAATGTGAACGCACTCGAGTCCTTGGTCTCTGATGTGCTATCCTTAGCGGGTTACCTCGTGGAAGCCTATAATCACTTAATATCAGGATGCTCTTATCAGGATGGGCCTGGTCATTTAGGATCTTATAGACGGTGATGAGGTCTCCCCTGTGACTGCGGTAACTAAGTGTGAAAAGACTTAATTTCTTCAGTCTCTCCTCATATGATTTGTTGCGGAGGCCGATCACCCATTTTGTCGCTCGTCTCTGGACACTTTCTAGCATGTTAGCATCCCTTTTGAGTAGCGGAGGAGCAATGATATTATGCACCTCAAGGAGTGGCCTCACGTATGTCGTATACAACGTTAGGAATAGTTCAGGAGTAAGAGCTCCCAGTTGCCTATGCATAAAGTGTAAAGTGCCGTAAGCTTTGGCGACGTCCCTCGTGTAATTTACACTGGTGTCTAGCTTTTCTGTTAAAATAAGGCCTAGATCGCGTTCTGATGGCACACAACTCAAGTTCTGGCCACCAAGGATGTAATTTGCACTCTGTGACCTGCCGGAATGAAGTTGCACTACTTTGCACTTCTTTAAGTTCAAAGGCATTCCGTTAGCCAGAGCCCAGTCCCCCAGCGTTTGCAGGTCAGCCTGCAATCTGTCGGAGTCTTCCGATGAGTTTATTGCTCTCCAAATCTTTACGTCGTCAGCGTAAAGAAGCGCAGAGCAATTCAGTTGACAGGGCAGGTCATTGATAAAAATCAAAAACATCAACGGCCCTAAGATAGAACCCTGAGGAACCCCTGATGCCGAGGTGTGCCAGGATGATCGGATGCGGTTGACTTTGGTGCAGAATTCTCTCTCGCTTAAATAATCTTCCAGCCATGCGAGAAGTGCTCCAGAAACACCCGCTTTGCTTATTTTGTGAAGGAGCAGACCATGGTGAACTGTGTCGAATGCTTTCGCAAAGTCGAGAAAGATCACATGGACTGGTATCTTTACATCCCAGGATAGTGTCCAATCGTTCCAAGCTAGTAGAAGATTCGTCACACAGGATCTTCCCTTCCTGAAACCATGCTGTGCTTCATGGAGTAGGTTAGTCCCGTCGAAGTATTTTCTCATGTGGTCGTCAATGAGACTTTCCAATATCTTCGATATCACTGGGAGTAGCGCAACTGGTCTGTAACTGGTCGCGTTCTGCCGGTCACCACCCTTGAAGATAGGGGATAGGATGGCTCGTTTCCATTCACATGGAAGTTTCCCTACATCAAAGGAGTGTTGAAACAGATCACTTAGGGGTTGGCAGAGACTTTCTGAACACTGCTTCAGGACGGATGGTCTTATGTCGTCGCAACCTGCAGACTTTCCCGAAGCCAACTTTCCCAATTTTATGAGTACCATAGCCGGGGTAATTTGAAATGTACCCAGCAGGTTTTCGCACGTTGGTCTTGCATTGTAATCTTGATGTTTTGTGAGGGTAAAATCCTCGTTACTGTTCAGTTGCCTGTGAAAGGCTAGACTGAATGTCTCTGCCATTTCAAGACTAGTAAGAGATTTCCCATCAGAACCCACTATATTGCAAGCTCCCTGGTTGGTCGGTTTTCTTTCAGACATAAACCTGTATAGGCTTTTGGGGTTCACGAGAAGCTTATTGGCGAGGTTTCTCTGAAATGTCCTTCTATCACTCCGGACTCGTATGTTACACCGATTCCTGAGTTCGAGGTACTCTTCATGTTCGGGTTGACTCTGCGATACTCGCCACGCAAACCAGGCTTTTCGCTTCGCCTGTAGAAGGCGTTGTGTCCCCCTTTTTAGCCATGAACATTGCTTTCTAGCTTTAGGTGTGACCAAAGGAACAGTGTCTGAGATCGCCTGGTGAATGATCTCCTTTACCACTCTCCAGTGTTCTTCTACTGTAAGCTCTGTCCAATTTTTTGGCCAATTTGCTTCAGACAAAAGTCTTCGCATTTCGGTGTAATTGGCTTTGTTATAACACAGATAGGGCTGTGTATTGTCCCACTGTAAACGCTCGCGGAGGACTATGTCGAATGTTATGACCGCATGGTCACCGCAACCTATTTTTTTTTTTTTCTTTACGTTTTCCACTAGTAGCTGGTCACTAGTGAGCACGTAATCCAGTCTAGAAGACTTCCCATCTGGGCCCCATCTAGTATCCATTCGGACATTTTCGGTGAATCCGGCCTCCGTGATGGTATGCAGCAGATTTCGATCAAATCTGTCCTGGGCACATCCCGTCATCAAGTTAAGAGATGGGGCATTGAAGTCTCCAGCTATGACAATTTGATCATAACCCATGTCATGTGTCGCTGAAATTGCATTCAGCAGTACCTGGTTGTGGTCTGCTCCACATGAAGGTGATCTGTAAATGCTGCCCACTAGATACTTACAGTACCCAACGGTGAAATGGCACCATATGGAGTCAGGGAGCTCAATGAGGGGAGGGTCGATTGCATGGACACATCTGAGCTGTTTGTCGACGTATATGGCGACTCCACCTCCTTCTTTCAGATCCCTATCTCGCCTGACAAGGACCATATCATTTATACTGACTTCGCTGTCTGCCACCGTAGGGGTTAGCCAGGTTTCCGTCAGTATTATGATTTTGGAGTTCAGCTGTGATTGTAGGTATCTAAGTTCAGCTATTTTGCCTCTTAGACCTCTCACATTACTGTACAGGCAACTGGTAGTCAGTCTCACCACGTCCCCGTATTGGGGGGTGGTTGACGTGATGTGGGCTGTCGGTTGAGGAGTTATCCTACGAACTAGTTGGCCGATTCCCCGGGAACCGGCCTGTTGGAGTTTTTTTCTTCTGATTCAATCGGAGCACTTGGATGGCACTGGCTATCATCGTCCGTGCTGCACCGCTGTATTGTGACTAGGGGTTGGGGATGTTCTATGACAACGTTTTGCTCTCTCCTTTGGGTACGAGGCCGGCTCTCGCAGCAGCGAATGTGTCTGCTGACCTTGTCTTTGGTCTCGTACCATCTCTGGAGAGCAGTAGTCAAGTGGTCTCGGGAGCTAAACTTAACAGCTAACAGACGTGGGGTGTTAATTGACATTAGGTGAGTGGGTCGAGGCAGTCTAAAAATAGAGACAGCCCCTGAACTTCCCAGACCCATCTGGGATGCCAACCATCTCCATTGCTGGACATCGTGACAGTGCTTCTCACAAGCGTTCCCAGTTTCCAGTTCAGGAATGCCGTGAACAACCATGGAGGCAGAAGGAATAAGCTCTGGCGACTCCCTCGCCATCTGTCTTTCCTTCCATGGCCTATCTGGCCTAACACGTATATTGCAGGTCCTCCCTATAGAAAGGACTTGGGAAGTCAATAAAACTTTTTCGGCATCTTCGGCAGAGCCTAGTGTTACCCTCAGTGGGGATGGTTTGCCTTGAGGAGCAGCAGTGCCCTTATACAATCTGCACAGTTTTACTGGTTGGATGTCCAGACCCAGTGTGCTACATGAGTTGGACCACTGTTCCTGATCAAACAGGGCCCTGTTTTCCAGCAGACTACTGCTACAGTCTGGTACATTAAAGAGGATAACGCAGTTTGATCGACTGACCGTGGATTTAGGTTCGGTCCTCGCACATTTGTCATCCCCCTTAAGACCGTTTTGTTTCATCTGGTGCAACTGGGTATTATTATGTGTCGCAGTGCTGTGGCCACTTTTACTGGTGGACGGTAAGGGTCTTTTCCCGGCGACAGGTACCCTTGGTGCTTCAACCTCTGTGTCTGGGGCAGTTATGGCAGGAATTGCAAGTATAACCGGTGTGGATTTTGGTATCCCCGATTTACATGCAATTGTGCTGTTTTCTGAGTTGGTGGGAGTGAAACGTTTCACGTTTTTTCCTGATATCTCTATGACATCTGTAGCTTTCGAGGAACTACACGAGGCTGCATTAGGACGGCAACTTGGGCAAATGTACCAGAACCATGGGCATGGGTTCTTACGCATAAAATCGTAATATACCTTTGGTACTCCGGTGTCACATCTACAATGTACCCAATGCTTACAAAAGTTACATTCGAAAGCAGAATCTGCTTGTTCGACAATAGAATTGCAGACCTTGCAATCGTCTGGCTTCTTGGGGAACGTTTTCGTCGTCTTGCGACGTCGTGAACGTTTCTTATTGGCCTTCTTGTTTGTTTCAAGGCCTACTGTGGATATAGGTGTCATACTATTCACCTGTTTGCTTAGTTTGGCTGAAGCTTTGGTGACTACGGTGCATGGTCTCCCATTACTTATCTTGGGATGAGAATCTATAGTCATTTTACTCCTAAAATAATACCGATGATTAAATGATAAGAGAGAGTGGAGTTTTGTCCAATAGACTGACAGCAAAAGACAGTAGAAAGCACAG